TTTTTTTTTTTGTGGTACCAAGGATCAAACTCAGGATCTTGTGCATAGCAGGCAGGCATTTATTCCACTGAGCTATCTCCCCGGCCCTCCCTTACAATTTTAAATACCCGTATCACAGACAAAACTAAGAAAAAGAACCTAACTCTTTTTATTGTAGGTAACAAACCTAAGTCCTTTACACTGAGCTACATCCCCTGCCTTTTTTATTTTTACTTCTGAGATAGGGACTTGATAAGCTGTTCAGTCGGGTTGAACTTGCCATCCTCCTGCATGAGCCTGCAGAGTACCAGGATGACCAGTGTGCGCTACCACACCCAGATCTAGCCTAACAGCCTTCTCCTTTGTTTTCTAATGTTTTCATTAGGATGTTTGTGACACAATGAACACACTCATAATGGGAAACTGTTACCCATACATATCACATCTTACCCCTTCCTACTTCTGCTTCCCCACCCCTCCCTCCTGCCTTGATTGCTTCTTGGATCCCTTTCCTATCTCCAAAAGGTCTACATCCCTGTTTCCTATAATTTATCTTTATTTTGCTCTATACTTATACTTTGGGTTTCTCATATAGAAAAAACCTTGTGATTATTTCACTTAGCATTACGGATTCAAGGTTCATCAATTTTTTCTACATTTCACTTTTTTTTTTGTACCTGGAATCAAACTCAGGACCTTGCACTTGCCAGGCAGGCGCTGTGCCACTGAGCTGTCTCCCCAGCAGTTTTTTCTATAAATGATTTGAATTTATCCTTTTTATAGAAGATAGAGCTCCATGGTGCATAGACATCATCTTTTTATCCATTCATTTGTTGATGGACACAGACCACTTCGGAGATTGTTCCACCGCAAGATGTGCCGCTGGCCAGGGATGCAGGTTAGCGGCACAGCACCTGCTGGGTAAGCACAAGGTCCTGCATGCGATTTGCAGAGCAACAACAAAAACGTTGTGCTGCTATAAATGGGTATGCATGCATCACTGTAACAGGGTATCTCTAACTCTTTGGGGAAGCTATCTAGAAGTGGAATAGCTAGGCCAAATGGAATTTCTATTTTCTAACAACTTTTCAGAAACTGCTTTTTATATAACATCAAAGAAAAGATATAGGTGCTAGCCCTAGGCAAAAAAAAAAAAAAAAGCAGAAAAGAGAAGACAGGAATTTGCTGCTCATCTTGAGGCAGTCCAACACTGCCAGAGAAGCAGCTAGGGTAAAGGGTATCCGTGGAGATCTAGCAGGTGCTTAGGAGTGTCTAACGAGACAAATTTGACTTGTCAAAAGACTATAAGAAACTCTGATTTGAAGGGAAGAAAAGAAAAATCAAAAGAATAATACTTTGAAGTTATAGCTGACACAGTAACATGCTAACATATTTCTTTAATGATCATTTCATTAGTGATCATTAACATGATTTTCATTATAAGTTTTTAGTTTTAAAGATTTATTCAGAAAGAGCTAAGACAGTTCATTATTAGGTCATTAAAATTCTTTATTTTTTATTAGTCTACATGTACTATAAGCAACCTGAATGATGGCTTCTCATTCCATCAAAGGAAAGACTTAAAAGCATCTCCCTGGATACTTTATCTCAAATGTGGCTTATAAAGCTGAAAGAACACTCACTCACTCTGGAAGGAAGAAATAATGTAGAAAAACTGAAAGAAATTTGAAAACACAGTCAAGGAACTCAGGCTTCTATTTCCGTGTTACTACTGTCATGCACCCAGCCTCACAGTCACTACTGTGAATTACAACAAACCCCGCCATCTAAACCTACCTTCCCATTTGACCAGCCAGTTATCAGCTCACACACTCCATCAGAATTAAGATCAAAGGGGTGAATGCTCATGGCATGATTTTTGGACTGAAAAACAATTCCAATAATTAGTACAGACATCTCTCAATTGTAGAAGTATAAAGTTCCTGAATAGCAAAGGCTGAACCACACTAACTTTGATTCTCCAGGATCGGGCTGTCTTGTCATAAACTCCAACTGTGCCATTGGAAAGGGCGTACCCGAATCGGCTGCCATACATGGGGCACAGAGAGGTGATTATCTGCAAAAATAATACATAAAACACACCTTTTTGTTACAGTTTAATCCAATGTGACATACAGCTTTAGAAAACTGCAAGCCTTGCTGTGTTAAAATGAGATGTGAACCCACTTTCAACTCACTCCTGGGCAATGTATTTCTCTGCCATGTCATCTCTTTCAAAGTTGGGTGACATTTTAAGATTTATATAAAACCTACAAACTTTGTCATTTTAGATCAAGATTATGAAGCATGTTCAGAAAATTATTTTAGAAGAATCATAATGAAATGATTAAGGAAGAAAAATACTGAGTATACAACATCTAGAATATATACAACAGAAATATACTAATTCAAATTATTTAATGATTCTTTCAGCTTCCTTGATTTAAAATATCTTAGATTCTGAATTTTAAAAAGAATTATAATCTAGGATGAACTAACTTTTGAGTATACATTTTTGTACAACATAATTTATTGTTTGCTACAGGTAAAAAAAAAGCATTATCCTTTCAAAACTGAAAACCCAAACACATGGATGTATGTGGTATTGAACAATACTCAGCATGCATATACTATATGAAAATATTTATAGGACTATAAATTATTTGATATCTTTATTTTTTAATATCCTTAAAAGGATAAAATTTTAGATAATGAACAAAATTATCCTTTAAAGTTAAAGCCAAAGCTTATTAATATCCATGATCTTACAGATCTGTTTTCTAATTTGAGCCCTAATACATGAGATATTAAGAAATACACTGTATAAAGCAGAGAATAGTTATATAACTTCCTTTACACCTACACATTTCTACAAAACTACCCACTTCACATAACTCTGAATACAAAGTGCTGTGTAGGATTTCAGAATTACTTAACTGAAGCATTCTTCTAGCAATACTTAATACTGTTCAACTGCCAAACGAATCAAGATTTTGCTCACTTGAGAAAAGACATTTGAGCTAAAAGCAAAATGAAAATGGCCCTGCATATGAACAAATTTATATAAAGTGTACTTTCATAAATTTAGCCTCATATTCCCAGGTCCCCTAGAATTTTCTTAACTCATTCATTTCTTTCTTTTGTAGACTACAAGAGGAACAAGTTCCCTCTAATACCTAATTCCATTTCAGTTCTCCTTACCTTTCTAGGATTTAGAGGGAAAAAAAGGTATTTCAAAAAATGTACTCTTCTAACATCTAAAATTGATTTTAGAAGTTTTTAAATCATATTTATTTCTACCAAATGGTAAAAGATTTACTATAAATCAGAATGGAAGGGTTTGGTGTGGTGGTGCCCACCTGTGTCCCAGCCCTCAGGAGGCAGGGATAGAGTCCAAGGCCAGCCTGGGCTACACAATGAGTTCAAAGCAAGCCTGAACTTCACAGCGAAACTTTTTAATCTTAGAAAAAAAAACTACCATGAAAGAAATATGATGATGCAGGATATAGCACCTACATCCTACTATGGAGTTGAGGTGTTTTGGGGGGACTGGGAGTGGACCCAAAAGCCTCTTTAAGAACCTAATCAAAGCTAAAGGCCCTTTTTCTAAAAAGCACATAAAACAGAACCCCATCTACGGCACCCATTTTTACACTACTGCTTTGGCACTCATTTCTCTCCTTTCTTCTTTATCCACAGCTATCATTTTAAATTATATTAATTGTGAACATATAAAAAGTACAAAGTAAGATGGGTATAATGACGCACACCTATAACCCCAGTACTTGGAAGGCTGAGGCAGAGAGATTGCTGAAAGTCTGAGGTTAGCTTAGCTGCAGAATGAGTTTAAGGCCAGCCTGAACTACATAGCAAGACTCTGTTGCAAACAAACAAACAAACCACATTGAATTTAAAAAAGATAGACAGTAGATATGTCAAAATCCAGTTTTTATTGTACAACCACTCACCCAGTACTCTCAGTGAGAAGATCCCCCAGCACTGTCATGCACGACCACATTTGGCTGCACCACTCTATCTTCCTGGCAGTTACCCTAACTTTAGAGTGGCACTTCTTACCTCTGTTTCTGTCATTTCTGCTACAATCTCATCTTCTTTAAAAACCCGGATATCGAAATCCTCAGACCCAACAAGAAGCTGAAGAGGGATAAATCATAAATATTTAATAAATTAACAGCAAAATTTCCATAAATAAAACCAAAAAATTGCACAGTGCTTCACACTTCTGCCACTCCAGAGTTCCTATTCTCCAATAATCCAGCACTCAAGAAGGCCCATTTAACTGGAGGATCAACAGATTCAATCAGTGAAGAAAAAGATTTTATTCTGCCATGTGGAGTGTACATCTTGCAAGAATATTTTCTTTCACTGTGACCCTGATAATGCTCCCTGCTTGAGTAACTTCCCTTGCCTGCCAATGAGAGCCCTACTTTAGACACCGCTGCCCACAGTCCAGGGACTAGTTATTGCCCAACCCAGCACTGTGCATGCTCAAGCCCAAAATGCTGATTTCCAGAGCAATTATCAGAATTAATTTCAAAAGACTAAAAGATAATTGTTAAAATTTTTAGATTCCGAAGAAAAAAATAGGCCCAAACAGAGACAACTTATGGATATGTTTCAAAGCATCAAAAGCCATTTACAAGGTTATGAATATGACTAAGGTCCCAAAACTGTTCTGCTTTCTCTCCCCTCTGCTGACTTTGAAACTCCATGACCTACTTATCTGTATTAGACAAACACAAATGACTTACTATTTGAAAAAGAGGAGATAGTAGAAGCAACAGTTCAGTTGCTGATCAAAATCCAAGGTGGCCAATCAGGCATCATGTAGGTACAAGCCAGCACGAGAATACTTCTCTCAACACTAACATCACTGAACACAACACAGAGGCATCTCCTCCCCCACTTACCTCTTTCTTCCCATCACCATCAAAGTCACACAAAGCCAAGGAATGAACATTGTCTCCAGTAACCTGAAAATGAAATCACAATTCAGCTCTTACATTTCAACCAAATGTATCAGCTACATGAAGAGGGATTATGCAAGCAGCCAATGAGTTATTTGAGTTAATCATATTATTTTTAATATACGAACTATAAATGTTCTGTTTTATTATTTAGTATAGACAGTGAATTTTAAAATACCCTGAAGAAAATTATAAGTAAGACTACTTAAGACTACCAAAAAGAATCTGTTGTCCTTCATACCGTCCAAAAGAGATCATTTCCTTCATGATCAAAACCCTGGAGAACACAATTTCCGCCAATTATTGCAAGAGGAGAGGCTACATCTCCCAATGTCCCCAGCACAATGGCATTTGCCCCATCTGCTACCTAAGAAGCAAAAGAAACACAATTTCAGACACAGTGATGGACAGACACACTGACAGTCACATGGATCCACCTCATTTATACCAACATTTTATTTTTCTTTTTCTGGTACCACAGATTGAACTCAGTAACCTGCCAAGCAGGTGCTCATGCTGCTGACCTAGCCCTCCACCCTTGCCTTCCTATCTGTATTATCTGTATTCTCAACTTCCTGTTGAGATTTGTGAGAAGCTACATGGTCTCTGAGAGGGCAGCCGGGACTGTCCACGGAAACCATCATGGCGGCGTCTGCAAGGGTGAGCACAAACGCACAGCAGACTCACTGCCCTGGCTCTCACGCTAAACTGCTCCAGTATGCTGCTATGACCATCTGGGGCTCTCCGGGGCCATCAGTACTAGAGGGAAAATGTGCCAGAGAATCAAGATATATGCCTTTCACCAAGCATGATGGCGCACACCAGTAATCACAGCACTCGGGAGGTGGGAGCAAGACTGCTGTGAGTTCAAGCCCAGCCTAAATTACATGGCAAGATCTGTTTCATAAAAAAGATGTATGCTTTTTTTTTTTTTTTTTTCAGAACCAGGGATTCAACTCAGGCCGTTGCACTTGCCAGGGAAGTGCTTATTCCACTGAGCCATCTCCCCGGCTCCAGATGTATGCTTTTAAACACTCATATTTTATTTATTTTAACCATCTAGGGGTGGACATATTTTTAATGTTATTACCCAATTCTCTTAACACTATTCTTCTTAATGTTTAAATTACTAAACATGGGGGAACTACCCGCTCGGGCCCCCCTCCTGTCCCTCTCTTGGACAGGAGCTTTCTTTCTCTCAATAAATATATTCTGCTCATTAAAAAAAAATTACTATTAACCACTAAGAAGAATATATGCAGTGTATTATTTGTTGAAACTGTACTTCCAATTTGATTTGAAACTGTCTCATTGCTATCTGTTTATCAATAAAATTTTGAAAAAAAAATTACTAAACACTATAAAGGATAAAACAAATCCCCCTAGTCATCCCTAGAATTAATAAATATCTCAGCCCTCTTTAATATATCACACAAGCATAGCTTAATTTATTTATGGGAGATTCATAGATACTTTGTAAATACTGCTTATTATATAGCAGTATAATCCTTATTTATATAACCCTTAGGAAAAATATAAAGAAAAGATTGACTATAAAGAAAATGAAGATATCCTAAGAAATTAAAACTGTTAAACAGTTAGTCAACAAAACAATAACCAAAGAATTTGGAAAAATAACTGCAATATGTAAGGCAAAAAGTTATTTTTTATTATTAAAAGGCAAATAAACAATACCCCAGCTCCCCAAAAAGAAACTCACAAGAAATGTATTCAAAAACATGAAAAATATCCATTTTCACAATAAATAACTTTTTACTCTTCAATAAGCAATGATAAAAAGGAATATTCTCCCTTGTTGATTAGAGTGTTATAACACAGGCACACTCATTGTGCAAGGTAGAAGTAGAAAAACCGTAGTTTTTCTAGAGAAGAATTTAGCAATATCTATCAAAAATCTCATCTAAAAATGGGTTTTGATTCAGCAGTTGTATTTCTTTTTTATGCCTTCTTTAATTTGCTCTCACTCAGCAGTTGTAAAGCTAAGACCTTGTAATACTAACGTTACGTATCACCTGGCTAGACACCACTAACTAGATATTTGGTCAAGCATTATTCTCATTGGTACTGTGAGGATATTTTCTAGAGGAGATCACATTTAAAACGGTAGACTAAGTAAAGCACATTCTCCTGCATAAGGCGTGAGCCTCAGCATTCAGCTGAAGGACTTCACAGGAGAAAGACTGACTTCCAGGAGGAAGGAGGGATTCTGCGAGCTCACTGCTTCCAGACTTCAGGTTCAACAGCAACTTCTCCCAGATCCCCACACTGAAGATTTCAGACCTGCCAGCACAAGCATGTAATGCAGTTCGTTCAGTACGTGCTCCCACCATCCACATACATATTTTATCGGTTCTGTTTCCAGTCCTAAACTCAATTTCATTCCTCAATGAAAACAGAAGGATTCTGTGACCTTGAAATAGGCAAGAATTTCTTAGAAGGATAGGAAAAGTATTAATAATTAAAGACAATACTGATCTCAGCTGGACTTACTCAAAACTAAAACTGAAGTCTTCTGCTCATCAACCCACCTATCTATTGGAGTGAATTGTGAACTAAGAGAAAATGTTTCTTAAGCAGAATTTATATCCAGTATTTCCAAAGGATGTCTATAAATCAATAAGAAATTGGGAAACTACCAATGAAAAATATGTAGAAAGTATAAACGCACACTCAAGAAGCACAAGAAAAAGTGCTGTACATCACTGGTCATCAGGAAAATGGAAAATAAAAACACAGATACCAATTCATACCTATTAAAATGATTAAAATTAAAAGCATGGTGGTACACACCAATAATCTCAACACCGAAAGGCTGAGACAGAAAGACTGAAAGTCCTAGCCAGGCAGGAAAGCTTAGCAACTTAGTGAGACCCTATCTCAAGATAAAAAATAAAAACTGACTGAGGGTGTGGCTCAGTGTGAAGGGCCTAGGTTTGATCCCTAGTATCAAAGGGGGAAAAAGCTTTGGTAACACCAAATGTTGACAAAAGAATGTGCAGCAACCGAGACTCTCAATACTGCTGGTATGGTAGAAGTATCACGTGATACAAACACTTTAGAAAACAGTTGCCAATTTCTTTTTCTTTTTTTTTTTTTTTGGCAGAACCAGGGATTGAACTCAGGTCCTTGCACTTGCCAGGCAAACACTTATTCTACTGAGTTATCACCCTGGCCCCCGCCAATTTCTTATAAAGGGAATCAAACATTTACTATACAGCCCAGCAATTCTCCTCCTGAGGACTTATCCAAGACAAATTAAAGCACATATTTACAAAAAGACTTGTACATAAATGTTTATAGCAATTTTATCCGCAATTACCCCAAACTGAAAGAATTCAAGTATCTATCCCACCTTTCACCAATATAATAAACACACTGCAGTATACTGATGCAATAGAACATACTATTTTTGTTATTGAGCAACAACAAAAAAGAACTACTGCTATATGCAATGAGAGTGAAAATTCTCTCAGAAATTATCCTGAGTACAAGAAGCCAGACACCAAAGAGTACACTCTGCACGATTTCATTTATATGAAGTTTAAGAATAAGAAAAGCTAAAGTAAATGTTTGTTTAAAAAAATAATAAAACAGACCAAAAAATGTTATAGGATTGTCCTGCTTAAAAAAATAATAAAATAAAACTCAATTAGTGAAAAAAAAAAACAACAAGAAAAGCTAATCTAAGCTGACAAAAGTCATAAAAGTGATTATCTATAGAGAGCAGGACTTGACTGAAATGAGACAATGTTTTCTGAAATGACAGAATTGCTCTCTTTTTTTTTTTTATGTATTTGGTACAGAGTCTCACTACACAGCTTGACCTGGACTCATAGAGATGCTCTTGTTTTCAGCCTCCCCAGCACTGGGATTACAGGCTTGTGCCATCATGCCCAGTCTTGGTGGCAGCTCAGCACACCCAGGGGCAGGGCCAGCACAGCATGTGGTGCTGGATACTGAACTGCTCTATATTTTAATTGAAGATGTTTGGCATAGGGCTGAAAACTGACTGAACTGCACACTTAAGGTTTGTGCAATCCACTGTATGTACACTGCACCTCAATGGACCAAAACCCTCACAAAATGGCACATCTAGAAACTTATCCTTGGGAAATAATCAGGAAAGTGGCAGGATATATGCTTATTGCAATATCAACCATAAAAGAGAAACTGAAAAGAACATAAATGTTCAAAATATCGTATTGGGGGAAGAAATTATATAGTAATACAATGAAATACTACAGAAACAATAAGAAAGATTTATATAGAGAGACAGATACATGTCTTCATATAAAGATGTTCAGAATATATAGTACATGAAAAGATCACATGTAATAGCTAGGAAGTAGACAGTCCATAAACCCATAAATTGATAATGTGGTATATATACACAATGGGACAATAAAAGCTATAAAAAGAAATGAGGTATTGATATACGCCACAACATGGATCAATACAGAAATTTTTATGCTAAGAAGCTGGACCAGGCATAGTGGCATACACTTGTCATCTCAGCACATGGGAGGCCACGGCAGGAGGATCACTGTGAATAGAGGGCAGACTGGGCCTCACAGTGACTTTAGGGCCAACCTGGACTATATAGTGAAATTATGTCTCAAAAAACTGAAAAAGGAGAAAGAACAACAACAACAAGAAGCAGCAGCCATCACTAAAGACTATACAGTACCATAGTATAGGATTCTGTATTTATGAAATGTCTAGACTAGGCAGAAAATAGAAACCAGATTGCCTAAGGTTAGAAGGCTAAGAGAAAGTGAAAACTGCCTACCATGACAGCGTTTGTTGTTTTCTTTTGTCTTTGGAGGTAATAAAAATGTTTAAAATTGATTGTGGTTACAGAACTTTCTATTGTTTTGTTTTGAGACAGGGTCACACTATATAGTCCTAGCTGGCCTTGAGCCTACTATGTAGCCCAAGCTGGCCTTGAACTCTCAGCAATTCTTCTGCCTCAGCCTCCTGACTGCTGGGATTACAAGCATGTGTAACCACACCTGGTTTACAAAATTTTGTGAATAAACTAAACAGTAACTTGTTAGGAGCCACCGAAGCTGGAAATTGATCTTATGTGGGAAGGCAGGATGAGGTCTCATTGCCTAAAGTAATCAAGCCACTTCAGTCTTGAGAAAAACATCCTGCCTGGATATTGTTGGCAACTATTTGGCAGGCAACCTGGCATCCTGCAACTTTGCAAAGGGACAAATAAATGCTCCTACTATTGTTTGGGGGTCCTTTGCCAATCAGA